CTTTGAGTGCAACCGTCCAGCCAACTCCTTATGCACCGCGTGGTGCACCCATCAAATCCACGTCTCTCTAGTTTAGAGACAAGGATGTTGTGCGGGACAGTGTCAAATGCTTTGCACGAGTCAAGGAAGATGATGTCAATCACTCTTCTCTCATCCACCACATCTGTAAACCCTGTCATATAAGGCCACCAAATTTGTCAGGCACGATTCACCCTTAGTGAAGCTATGTTGGCTGTCACCAATCACCTCCTTATGTTCCTTATGCCTTAGCATAGTTTCTGGGAAGATCTGGTCCATGATCTTGCCATGCACTGAGGTGAGACTGACCAGCCTGTAGGTTCCTGGCTTTTCCTTATTTCCCTTTTTAAAAATGGGGGTTATATTTCCCCTTTTCTAGTGCACATGAACTTGTGCACCTCTAGGTTCCTTAAATGGTCTCAAACCTGATCTTCTCCTCAAGCAGGCAGTTCCTCATTTTCCCATTCCCTGCCTTTGCCTTCTGCAACTAGGGTGGTGTGGCTGGAACACCTGCTGGTGAAGACTAAGTCAAAAAAGTTTGTTGAGTACCTCAGCTTTCTCCATGACCTGGATAACCAGGTCTTCCCTGTCCTTCGGGAGAGGGTCCACATTTTTCCTAGTCTTCCTTTTATCACAAATTTAGCCACAGAAGCTTTTCGTGTTGCCCTTGGCATCCTGGACAGGCTTAGTTCTGTTGAAGCTTTAGCTTTCCTAACCTGATTCCTGGCTGCTCAGACAATCTATATTCCTCCCAGGCTATATTTCCCTGCTTCCACCCTCTGTAGGCTTCCCTTTTGTGTTTAAGTTTGTCCAGAAGCTCCTTGTTCATTCATGCAGACCTCCTAGCATTTTTGTTTGAGTCCCTCTTCATAAGAATGCATTGCTCCTGAGCTTAGAGGAGACGATCTTCGAACATCAACCAGTTCTCTTGGGCTTCCTTTACAAGGTTTTATCCCATGAGACTCTACCAAGCAGATCCCTGAAGAGACCAAAGTCTGCTCTCCTGAAGTCCAGGGCAGTGATCTTGTTGTGCATCCTCCTTGCTGCTGCTCTAAGGTTCTTGAACTCCATCATTTAATGGTCACTGCAGCCCAGGCTGCCCTTGAGCTTAACATTCCCCACCAGCCCCTTCTTGTTGGTCCAACATAGCATCTCTCCTTGTTGGCTTCTCTATCATTTGGAGAAGAAAGTTGTTATCACCATATTCCTGTAAACTCTTGGATTGTTTATACCCTGCTGTGGTGTTATCCTTCCAGCAGATACTGGGGTGGTAGAAGTCACTCCCTCTCATGAGGACTAGGGCTTGGGAACTTGAAGCCACTTCTACCTGTCCATAGAGGGCCTTGTCAGTTTGGTCTTCCTGGTTGGGTGACTGTAGCAGACCCCCACTATAATGTCACCTGTCCCTCCTCTCCCTTTAATCCTGACCCATAAACTCTTCATCCATTCCCAGGTAGAGACCCATTCACTCCAGCTGGTCATTGACATTTTCATTTTGTCACAAGTTCTAAAGTACTAGAACTAAAATGTTATATATATGCAAAAGGGGTTTGAGGAAAAAAGGAAGTATGTTCAATTGTGTCAGTCCACATCACCTGAAATACAGGTACCTTATATACAACCTGGAGATGGAAGTGATAATTAAGGCATTTTCACAAAAATCCAAATTAGAACCCAAATGGGAGAGTGCATATACTGTCTTAATGTGTTCTAATTTTACTTTTAAAGTTTTATGAAAATAAAATTGGATATACCATGGTCCTGGCTTGTAAGATAAGCATGTATTCTATTTGACATCTGTTGGAGGTGGGGCAGTTATCTTCTGTTAAGTTGGGCAGTTTTCTTATCACTTCCAAGAACAATGTCTCCCTCTGCGGAGATATCTTCTGTTAATGGGCCATTGAATAACTCACTGCATGACTGATAAAGTTACATCATCCCATTGTGAGATGCTCCACCCAGAGGGAGGAGCCAAGCATTCCCTACCTGCATGAAATCAGCATTTTTTGGGACATCAGGGCAGCCTCTTTGCTGGATTCCTAGAGGAGCAGCTTCTTCTCTGCTGGATCCCCAGAGGAAGACCAGGCCCATCTACTCTATCACCAGACCTTCAGAGAAAACTACACCCTTCTACAGGATCACCACTTCAGCAGCATTTCATCTGCCACTCCAGGAGGAGCAGCTACCATTTAACTGGACTATTACCAACACCCTGACTCCTCGGAGTGTCAGGTTTCTGACTCTGTCAGTAGTTTTGTTTTTACTAATTACATTTTTAAATTTAGTTTTTTTCCTAGTAAAGAACTGTTATTCCCATTCCCATATCTTTTCCTGAGAGCCTTTTAATTTTGAAATTGTGGTAATTCAGAGGGAGGGGTTTTACCTTTTCCATTTCACGGGAGTCTCTTGCCTTCCTTCACAGACTCCTGTCTTTTCAAACCAAGACAACCATTCTCATGTCAAATGAGCAATGAATAACCAACCAGCTAACAAATATCTGCATTGGAAAGAATCTATATACCAAAGACATGAAGTGGAGCATCTCACTACTCTTAGTGCTGGTAATCCAGAGGACCACTACTGCATGGCTAAGTATAAAGTCAATGGAAGACCCATTGTGGTATAAAGTTAACAAGACTAAAGGGGAGGTATGTGACATAGACTTTTATGGGATGGGTGACCAAACCTTGGAAAAGCCAATGAAAGAACTCTCTTTTTGAAAATCGGATACAGTTCAAAATCTAAGTTTGATAGAGGTAATAAGCAAGAAGAAAGTTCATTGTTCCAATGATACAAACTGTTGTTTAACAGTCAATTCCAGTTGTTGTGTATGGTTGGACATGGAATTTCAAGTAAATAGAATATATGTTAATGTGACAGGCAAAAAAATTCACTTTCACCTAGGTATGCTCTTGACTTGAATATACTTAATTTTCTTCTCAGTACCTGGTACAGCGCTGTGTTTTGGATTCAGTATGAGAATAATGTTGATAATACACTGATATTTTAGTTGTTGCTACATAGTGTTTACTCTAAATCAAAGACTTTTCAGTTTTTCATGCTCTGTCAACTGAGCTAGTGCACAAGAAGTAAAAATGTGGGTGTTGAATGGTGGATGCTGCTGCCTATTATCTGTTCCCAACAAACCTCTCCTGTAGAAAAACAAGTTGGGTTAACATTCAGGCAACACAGTCAGACCCCCACACAACACTCACCACAGCTGGCTCAGCGAGAGAGGCAAGAAAGGCTCTTTTTACAAGGTTTTATTCCAGCAAAGTAATCACATGAGGCTGAAGGGGACCCGGCAAGAAAGAGAACAACCACGTGGTGCAGGCAACTTAAGAAGGGGAAGGGGTGGGGGGCGGAGCTAAGGGAAGAGCAAAGGGGAGTAGTCTCCAGGGGAGGGGAGGCAGCCACCAGTAGTATCAAGCCAGTGAGAGGACAGGGAAAGGGGAAACCAGCAGAAGTTTCGAAACAGAAGTCCATGTGGGAGTCTGTCTTTTCCCCCCAGGAGGACTAACTCTATGGTAGGTAGTTACTGCCGTTGCCAAGGCAGATAACTTGGGAATTGACTGAGAGGAGAGAGTTCATGGGATGCTACAAAGAAGTACAAACCAGAAGATGAAAAGGCTACAGTCATCAGCAGAAGTTGCAACTTGACAAGATAAGAACAGTTAGTGGCCTGTCTGTGTGGCCACAGAGAAAAATTATAATAAAGGGTTTTAAGATCCCAGACCAAAAATCACCATTGGACCAAGAGGTGTGTGCAAGGTATGTGAAGAATGGGTGAAGAACATGTGCGTAGACTATGAGGGCATAAAAGTCTAAGGTTTTCTTTGTTTGGGGTCCCTCTCCAGAAGCACCCAGGTCGAGTTGACCTGCTGCTGTACCACTCTTAAATTATTTTCATAAAATCAGATACCTGAGACTCTGCTGTGGGAAACCTAGGGTCAAACCTGAAGAATGAAGAAGCATGCCCGAGAGTGTATGTGTGTTAGCAAGGAGTCGGAAGGGGCACCCATTGGTTCACTGGAGCTGCCTACTACGAAGGGACTCTGGGAAGCAGTTAAAAGTCTCAGATGGTATGTGTGTGACTCCTTGAATGGTGTGAGAATGCTCAGGCATTGGCTTCTTTAACACAGTTCTTCACATACAAGACTGTGAGAGACGGTCCAAAGATTTCTTCATTTGCCTCACAACTGTCGCAAGGACCCTGAAGACCCCTGACAAGAGTTCTGTCCCGGCCGAGGTAGATGCCGATGCTTGCCAAGTGACTGTTAGCAGGTGCACTCTCTATGCTTCTACAGAACATTGCATTCGAACAGGTTGTGACAAGTGGTAGCTTGTACCTGTATGCCCATCAATCTTGCCCACCTTCTGGCCAGATGCCACTCGCTTTGGCTAAAGACTATATAAACTTTTGGGAAGACTTTGGTGCACCCCCACGGACGACAGTGAATCTATGTGGCTGGACCATCAAGGATCTCGTCTCAGAAGGTGGTAGCTATATTCCCCTTTCCCTCCTTTCTCTCTATTCTTTATTTCCCTTTTCTGTCCCCTCTATCGCATTTGCTGTTGGCACCTAAATAAAGGTGCATTTCTTGTGATTAAACTGATGGTCCCCTGCTGTTTGCCTTTTAGTACTTTTGGGATCGGTTAACGAACCATCACGACACCCCGCACGAGCGGATCGTGACAAAGACTCTTCCAATAACTCTTCAAATCCCTTTGTCTCTCAAGGGTTTGTTAGCATTAAACCAAAAAAGTTGAAAATTGCCTTCCTCTCATTCTAACAAGAGTCAGGCTACAGCATGTGCTCTGCACATTAGTAGCAATTAAGCTATAAAAAATAACTAATATCTGTGTCATGTGAAATGTATTCACATTTTCAGAAGTTAACTGAACACTAACAGAATGGTTATTTCAACTGCAATTTGCTACAGGTCTTAATTTCAATCCTTCTACTTCTTGAAGCATCTTACCAGTTCCATCATCTGCATAATTCTGACCAGTCTCCCAAATCTCTGATTTTGTCCCAAAGCCATCAGTGGCCGAAGACTCCATATAGTCTGCAGGGTTAAATGTCCTAGAGTTTTAAAAGTTTAAAAATGGAAGAGAACACATAGGTCATTCAATGAACATAAATGTCATCATTTTTATCTGAAGTTGCATTAGGTTTTATGTCTTGATTTCCACATAATCTATCTTGATAGTTTAGTTTCAAAAAAATTTTCCTCTATGAGCAGACACAGATAAAAGAGGGAGAAAAGAAGGGGAGAAAAAAAAAGTGAAGAGACTGAAAAAAAAATTACTGTAGAGAAATTGAACCAAACCAACAATTCCTGAAATAGCCGGTAACAGCATACCTACTCCTCCAGTATTATAAAGCATTAGTTTATATGCAGAATGATAAGCATCTCTCAGGTGATAGTTTCTCAGAAGGTGGCTTACTGATGAGAAACCAGTATCATGTCCTTTCAGAGCACCAGACCTGTGCAGGACAGGAGTCAGAACATCAGTAAGACTATTTCAGAATGCACTCTTGACACCAATGCCAAAACACACAGATGAAGCTAAAAGGTGAAAAATGATCATTAAAGAAAAACATCTTTTCAGTTTATCATCTACAAGTATGAACAAGAAGAATTATCAGAAAAGTAGAATTAATCTTCTGTTCATCATGACATCAATGATGTTACATGAAATGTCACTAAAGGCAAACACTGTGTGAAAATAGTGGAGGCTACACTTAATGAAGCAAGTTATTCCACCAAAACTGAGAACAAACTTTAGAGCTGCTGAGTAATTTCTTTTGATTTTATTTTAGGGTTAATGTATGTCCAAACAGCTAAAGCATGAAACCTCAAAAACAGGAGAAAGTTTAGAACCACGAGTCTTTCTGGTTTTATACAGAACTTGAAAGTTCTACATTACACTGAAACAATTTTTTTTTTAATTGACCTAGAACTATATGCACCACACAAAACTTTCAGTCTCCAAGACACTACTGATGGCTGCTACTGATAGGTACAAATGGGTTCCCCAAGTTTGAGATATTAACATTGAGTGAACTCACATTAGGTTTGTATAGGTGTGTCTAGGTAGAAATACTGGTTTAACACAAAAATAATCCATTAATAATCTAAGACATTTTGATTTTTTTGTATCTATACAGGTTTATCAAACATACAGCAATATTAAGACACACAGTGGCAACACTATCATTTAATATTGCCGGTGAATTTGATCCTTGCCAAAATCTGTGCTCTGTGTGTTTCTTACCCCATGCCTTGGGCTGAAAACCTCCCTGCTCCTCTCCCTCTGCCACGTCCAAAACCTAGGAGAGAAAGCACCATTTAATAGCAACAGCAGAGGAGCCACCAATTTCTACTCTGTCACATTAGAAAATATAATGGTTGAAGAAAAAAAAGTACTGTGGTTAAATATAATTTACTTGCCAAATTTCCCTAACACATGCAAGTAAGCCACAGTTAATATAACACTTTGTGTTTCAGTAGGACTTGCAATTCTTTGCTATCTTTTCTGTATCTAGTGAAGTAGCTCCAAATGCCAAGAAAAAGACTTTATCTAAAGAATCATCCCATGAGACTGCTTGTCGCCCTGATTCTTAAGATTTTCTAAAGCCTTCTGAGTTTACATTCTGTTAGAGAACTTTCTCACACAACTTTCTGTAAACAACCGATTGTTTTTCATTCCTTCATAGAGGTGGAGAAACCTGATGTACTAGTAGTTTGTCAAATGTCATTGGAGAGGTGGCACCTTAACCCTCCAATCCACTATCACCTTTGAAAAAGTATAAATGCTGGAGTCAGAAAATAAACTCTCTCTTTTTCACCTTTTCAACAGCAGCAGCTCGCGCCGTGCTTTCACGTGTCCTACAGTGAAAACTGCTATTGCCAAATCATTAGACATTGTTCAAAATTTCATTTAATTTTTCCCTGTTGCCTAAATGCTTTAAAATTCCAGCCTCCCTGAATACCTTGATCTCTCAAGAAATTCCATCACTTCTTATCTGTGAGAAGAAAGTTTAAATATTCCATTTGCTTCCTTCTCTGACTCAGCCTATCCCTACCCTCCTGTGCTTTCACCAACCTGTTCCAACACATTCCTTGTTTCCCCAATGTCATGGTTTGACACTGGCACAATGCCAGCGCCCCATGAAAATGCAACCTACCAATCAAATGCTGTGGAATGCGATCGAGAACAGAGCAAAGCAGGCCAAACTTAATAACAAAGAAAGACTTTATTACACTACTACTAATAATATAAAGGGAAAGAAAAAGAAAAAAAACCCACACAAACTTCAAAATGAAAACCTTCCAAAACATTCCTCCTCCCACCACCCAACTCCAACAAACCCCAGCGAGACCCATTTGGATCCTTAATCAAGTTTTCACCCTTCAATATAATCAATACTGAGTCCATCGGGGAAGAGAAGAGTCCCCTTTGCACCACAGACCCCCAGGAAACACAGCTGCCACCTCTTGTGTTTCCATGTCACACGTGGCACTGCCCAGACACACCGGCCAGTGTGACGCTCTCCTCTCCATGTCACAGTGCTCTCACCACCAGGCATGGACAGAGACTGCTTATAGGGCCCCTTTAAGGATGCTCTGCCAAGGACCACCAGGAACAACAGTCCAGTGTCGCATTTCTGGACTAGAGTCCCCCCCATTTTCCCCTGGGGCCGAGGGTCCAAAAGACAGAGATCGCCTTCTCTTCTTCTCTGAAGATGGAGGGCATCCTCACACCCTCCTCAGCTCTCTCTCTGTCCATTCCAAAACTGGTAGTTGCTGAAGAAGGTCTCTTGGCTCACCAGTGCATCCCCCTAAAATGCAGTCTCTCTTGAAAGAAGGAGTGGTTCAGTCTATGGTAAACAAGCAGAGTCCAGCCAAAAGCCACTCCATCATCTCCCCCCAACCTTCTTCTCTGAACATCTGAGGTCCCAGGCTGTCTCTCTTTCCTTCAAATTGAGGAGGAGTAATATTTCATAAAGCCTTTATTTCACAGGAAAGGGTTAAAATTCCTGGACTGCCCAGACGGCTGCAATCTCGGCCCAGGACTGCGTCTCCCATCTCCCACGCTGGGCATCTTCCCCTCCCTTCTCCTTCTCCTCCACCGGCAAACTCCCAGGTGTCTGCTGGCTCTCTATCTCTTTTCCCTCTAGCTTAGGGGAGGGGGAACAAAGACATCCCAGATGTTCTCCACCCTTCCATTCGAAAGAGCTGGCCCAGCTCAGTTCCGATCGTTCACCCCCTAAGAGGTGGCAGCTGTGTTTCCTGGGGGTCTGTGGTGCAAGGGGGACTCTTCTCTTCCCCGATGGATTCAGTATTGATTATATTGAAGGGTGAAAACTGGATTAAGGATCTAAATGGGTCTCGCTGTGGTTTGTTGGAGTTGGGTGGTGGGAGGAGGAATGTTTTGGAAGGTTTTCATTTTGAAGTTTGTGTGGTTTTTTTTCTTTTTCTTCCCCTTTATATTATTAGTAGTAGTGTAATAAAGTCTTTCCTTTGTTATTAAGTTTGGCCTGCTTTGCTCTGTTCTCGATCGCATTTCACAGCATTTGATTGGTAGGTTGCATTTTCATGGGGCGCTGGCATTGTGCCAGCGTCAAACCATGACACCCTTTAAGCATAACTACTGACGTTATAATTATCCAATTCAAATTACTCAAACTTCTCTGTTATTACCCACAAGAATATTAATGTCTATTGTAACAACATCAAATATTTGTTGCCTCCAATTTTGGTTACCAACCTCAGTTTACAAGCTTCTTAATATAGTGAATGGCTTTATTTTTGCATGTTGCATAGTGCCAAGAAAGCATGAAAATTTTGGTATTACTTAACCATCCATAAAGCACATGTCTATGAAAACTGTTAGAAACTATTTCTTACATGTGGTATATTTCTACATAGTTTTGGTGGAATTTGTTTATTTTTTATAACATCAGTATCTGAGGCTTTTTCAGTTTGTTGGGTTTTTTGAGGGAGACCATGTATATTATTTGGTATTACAAGAGTTGCTGCTGAGAACAAAGTGATGTTTATTTTAATGACAAAATTATGTGGTTATAAAAAGTCACTGAACAACTACAAGCTTACCAGAACACAAAGGTTATAATCCTAAGTCACTGATATACTGGTTGTCCAAGCATCAGAATTACCTATGAAAGACTTCAAATTTGGATCAAAATTACCCCTTATTTTGAGGGGACCATCTAAACTGAATAAACAGTATCTCCAAGACATGGCAAATTCTGTTTAGAAAGTTCCTATTTTAATGACTTTCCTTTTCCTCCCCTCACCACTTGTTCTCCTCCTTGCCCTAGTTCACTATCCATGTTTTAAAAGACATTTCTGGACTGCTAAAATACTGTGGTGGTTTGACCTTGGCTGGAGGTCAGGTGCCCACCAAAGCTGCTCTTATCACTCCCTTCCACAAATTGCCAGGGGAGAGATCACTCACCAGTTACCATCACAGACTAAACAAACCTGACTTGGAGAAATTTATTGAAGTTATTATCAAAATCAGAGTAAGATAATGAGAAGTAAAACAAATCTTAAAAACATCTTCTCCCCACTCCCCCCTCCTTCCCAGGCTTAACTTTATTCCTGATTTTCTACCCCCTCTCCCCCAACAGTGCAGTGAGATGAGGAATGGAGGTTACAGACAGTTCATCACATGTTTCTGTTGCTACTTTCTCTTCAGGTAAAGGAGTCCTTCTCCTGTTCCTGCATAAGATCCTTCCCATGGGAGACAGTCCTTCATGAACTTCTCCAGTGTGAGTCCTTCCCACAAGCCGCAGTTCTTCATTAACTGCTCCAGCATGGATCCCTTTCATAGGGTCAGTCCTTCAGGAACAGGCTACTCCAGCATGGGTCCCCCACGGGGTCACAAGTCCTGCCAGCAAACCTGCTCCAGTGTGGGGTCTTCCACAGGCTGCAGATGGGTCTGTGCTCTCCTGTGGACCTTCATGGGCTGTAGGTAGACATCCTGCAGGTCTTCACCATGAGCTGCAGGGGAATCTCAGCTCTGGCACCTGGAGCACCTCCTGCACCTCCTTCACTGACCTTGGAGTCTCCATCACTGTTTCTCACATATTGTCACTCCTCTCTTCCTTGGATGCAATTAATTCTGTGTGATATTTTTTTCCCCATCTTTAAATATGTCATCACAGACATCACTACTGTCGCTGATAGGCTTGGCCTTGGCCAGTGGTGGATCTGTCTTGGAGCCAGCTGGCATTGGCTCTGTCAGACATAAGAGAAGCTTCCAGCACCTTCTCGTAGAAGCCATCCCTGTAGTCCCCCCCTCCCCTTGATACCAAAACCTTGCCATGCGAACCCAAGGACTTCTTAGAAATATCAAATTAGCAGGATAGCTTTATCCACATTTTGATGAAAGGGTTTACCCTTATTTGCCGGAGCTCACCCTAGGTCGCAGGTGGCTCCGTGTGGTGGAAAAATCTCTCCTCCAACCTGTGCTTTCAAAAAAAAAGCTCAGAAGTCTTCTGTTGTTCAGTCTCAAGGCAGTTTATTGCAAGCTATCTAAAAGATTGTCTTCTCAGGCTGCTGCGGTTTGCTCAGCAGCTCAGGCAAAGGCACACACACACCACCGACATCCTTTCTGACTCCCGTCTTCTTCTTCTCTCCCCCCGCCCAGGACTGTTGCTATATTTTATATGGTACATTACGTGTTAAATTTTTACAGTTTTTCCCCAATGCCTATTACCTATATTAAATGGTGCTTCTCTACTCTAAACCAATCTGTGAGTGCCAACATCACCAAGAACATGGAGGTAAGGAAGAAGAAAGAGGGATGACAGGACAGGCCCAAATCCTTCCATCTTAAAACTTCTGACCCCCATGTACAAAACCATAACCCCCCTGTACAGGACTTAAAACCCCCCTGTACAGCACTCAAAAATTCTTCCCTTTACTTTGTGACTACTTCTACTATGATATCTAAACTTTTGTGACTTCTTGTTCTTCCTGCAAGGTTGGTAAATCTTGGATTTTGGTTCAAATCCAAAATCACAGCTGTTTCCAGCTGCCTGCCAGGGTCTCAAATGCTTCTGACCTGGACCCGGAACACCCAAAAATGTCTGAGGGACATTTTGAGTTCCGACACTTATTCTATACAGGATGACAACCATGTAAACCTGCAGAGGAAGGATTTTCATCTAGCAAGGCAGAACAACAAGAACACAGAAGAATGAAGTCTGACACTAGGCCATTTTCCCCTCTTTACACTCTTTTTACAATCATCTGGAGAGAAGCGACAGAGATTAGGAAAGGGGTAACAACTACAACC